AATGGTGCAATTTGTACAATTATGCAATGAGTTCACCTTTGGACCACTTTTCATTTATGGCTGGCTTTTCAAATCACCTTTCGTCCGTGTTACGTGTTACGTGTATATAACATGTCACAAAACCAATTTTCTCATAACATATAAACATGTAATTTCTTGTATGTATTTGACTTAAATCTTAAAAGTATTTACGCTGTTAATCTATGAAATGAAGTCATATTGGGATATGTAAACGTACACATGTAAATCACTTTCTATACTGCTTTGAATTGTTAAATAGAATGTACATATGGTTATTAACTTATACTCTGAGACTGCTGACTTTTGAAACTGGATCGGGGTGGATTGTTACTGATCATCCCATCAACGGATACATACAGAGGCTCTGCATGTCTGGAGTCTCATTTTCTGTGCCCCATCCAACACTTTTTTGACCCAGCAAAATATTTAACATAAACAGTCAAAGTGGTCATGCGGAATACTTACTACCACCGCTCTGTCCTCAACCCCAGAGAGTAGGATCACTAACACACCGCCTAACCAACTTAGCAATAAAATTGCCTTTTCTCAATCGCATATCAGTTTTCCCTTTCCACTCTTTAAATATTACACTTTTAATTGAAAGAAAGGAATTTGATTAAGAGCGAAAATAACAGCAGAAAGTTACGGAGTGATGACCTACATATGGACATTAAACAACAAAAATTATAGCACGAGTACGCTACTATTCACTAACATTCAGTCCATTAGATGGGACTTACCATGGTGTCCTGTGGAATGCATTCTTATCTCTGAAATCCAAATTGTACTGAAGTTATATCTCGCCTTTCAGCGATAACAATATCATTGACTATTCTGGAGTTACAACAGTGACTGGCCTTCTAGGGTGTGCGCCATCCCAAGGCTCTGCCTGCTATGCTTACATTCCGCCACCCATCTATTCATTGTAGATATGAAGGGGATTCATTCCCTAGTGTTGCTACCATATCAGTATGGATATACTTCGATTTTTCAAACGTCACTTGCCTTGTTTATGTTAGAGTACTACCTTTTCAACATGAAGTGACCAAAGGATACACAGTCATAAAAAGTCGGGAAAAATGGAACTGACAAAGGACATCCCGGCTTAACTTCTTCAATACAAGGCTCACAACTTATCAATCACTCTTCATATTCGCATGTTTTTTGACGTTCAGGTAGTTTTACGTTACACTTGACGACGATTTTTTTTAAATAAACATACTTTACGTTGCATTCAATCGTTTTATGTTATTACATGATAAGAATGTTTTGAAATACAAAGAAAGAAAACAACTTATTCAACTTTCGAATCATTTGCATCCGGAATAGGAAATCGGCGAATTTCAATACAGTGACTAGAAAGAAACGCTCTGGTTGGCCAAAACTACGAAAGTTATATTATCACTAAAATTGTTTTCATCAAATATAGTCCTATATTACACTGGTAAGTGTTTTGATACAGCTCGATCAGCTATATCTTTTATCGTTCAAGATAATTCTTCTATTTAAACTAGTGTGTTGATTAGAATATTTATGAAAGTTTTTTTCAACACTGGATCAAATTTGCCGAGGTATAACAGCACTTTAGACCTTAAAGTTTTTAACCTATCGACTGCAACTTTACTGAGGTTACTAACTGGTCAATGCATTCAAAAACTGCATTTGCAATGTATCAGTTACGTGAAAATTTAAAAACAGTTGCATTTGAGTTGTGTTGCTGAATTGCATTGACACTAAATACTTCAAACCACATAGTAACCATTCTGCATCTACAACGACAGTTGTGAAAACCATATTCAACCATCACGAGAACTGCAGAATTGATTGCTGAATGTGTATTTCATAAAATTCTGTCACGAACCGGTGAATTGTGACAAACGGTAAAGATATTTTGAACTCATTTGAATTCGTAATTGTAGACAATAGGAGTCGTCGCCCTAAACTTATAAGGATTCATTGCAAGATAACACTAGCTTAGTTTACTCTTAATAAACAATCAAACAAAAGGTATTGATAATAAATCTTTTGTACCTTGCGATGAATATACGATGTAAATGAAAAAGAGTTGATTGTTTCTTGTGTTTTTTCTTTTGATTGAGCGTGGAGATAATAGAAATATGCACTCTGAAACTCTTTCGTGACAACTCTGTACACACTAATGGTTAGTAACGGTGGGACAATCAAGTTTCGGAATATTACAGAAAACATAACACAGATTTCCATGATACCAGTGATAGAAACTGTGTGTTAAAATCGGATGAATGACTAAACTGTAATTTCTAATATTACAAAAAACGACAAGTTTCACTACAACCAAAATGACGTTCAGTTCCCATTCAATCAGCGACGTCGTCCAATGAGTGAAGTTAAGTGCTCCTCCAATAATTTATACATTTGAGATTTATTTTTTGATAACAGTGACGCATAGAGCAATAAACTGAAACAGATTTTCAATTAGAGTATTTTATTGCTTTCAAATATATGTGTACCCTTTGCCCATACATGTATAGACTTAACCGAGTCACTTGATTCTAACAATTTAATGATCTGCAGTTCATATCATATTCAGAAAGCGTGTAGGCGATAACACATTTCAGTAAAAACATCAATGTTGATATCGCGCAGACATTCAACAAATCGTCCTTGATATCTATGGGAAAAAACGTAACAAAGAAAGACACTTAGAATACGTGTACTCAGAATAAAAGCTACACATTCTGAAAAGAACTTCAATGTCATCAGATAACTCCGGCTAGATCGGCTGGTTAACTATACCCAGTAGTCCGGAAAATTCGTCATCTGGACGAGTTTGGCCGGGAACGAAGGTGTCCTAATTATTGGGTGTTGTTTTTCTACAAAGAAACCAACATCAACAGCTTTCCACCAAGCTGTATGATAAGCGTGGTGATTCCATTTTCCCTAATGTGACCCTTTCATTTCTTGATAGCAATATTTCTGCACTCCAAACTTATTGTTTTTACAAGAAGGAAGGTTTATCCCCAATAACTACAATTTTCGTGCAAGACGCCGTCAACTGATAGACAATTTCGTAACACAGGCTCTCAAAAGATGAAGTTGATGAAAATTATGTGGAAGCTTTACGGTCATCATAGTGATCTAATTTAGACTATTGATTTTATTTGTGCGTTATGAAGTTGCAAGCTGCTTAGATACAATTACACGGTATATAATAATGGTTATGATCATAGACACATCTCTGTGAATATTAGTGTTATACTTTGTATATACAGTACTGGGAAAGAGGTGAGACTGGGAAAGTGATATTGATTAATCGAGTAGATGAACCATTTAGGATTTTTTACTATAGAAAAGTTAGTATAAGAAATGAACACGAACATTAGATAATCATAATCTATTCGTGGCTCTGACATATTCAATAGTTGCTTTAAAATAGATAAATTTGTTTTGTCAATACAGTCAGTAATTGTAACCCGTGACGCCGGTTTGTTATCGTGATATCGTGATATCGCATCGTGGTATCGTGATATCGCAATATCGCTTCCTATTAAACGAAGCGATATTACGATGTCCCGAATCAGCCACCATATCATTCTCATTTGGAAATCTGTAAGTACTTACTCGGATTGAACAAGATTTATATGGCGGATAGTCGAGAACACAACACACGCTTGTCACTTTAGAATGTATGATTATATGACTTTTTTGCAAGGTCTTCGTGTTATGATTTCATTTTTTGCAATGTAAATTTTCGATTTCTGGAGAGCAACATTTCTGCGTCCCCAACCTATGGTGTTTACATGTCACAATTAAAGGCTTTTTCTCAATATCACGATTTTCGTGAAAGATATCTCAATATATACCGACTCGAAACTACGTGTTTTGCAGGTTGATCGAAAGAGCGTGGAAGTTTTGCAGTCGTCATAATGAAATTTTGAAATATCTAATTTCTGATGCGATGTGAGGGTTTCCATGGCGGGTTTCTTCAGTGAAGCAGCAGACGTTTACCCTTCCGGAACACCTAATTTTATTGATCTTGTACTTTTTCATATTTTGCCCTAGTTATATGGAATTTAGGTTTGAATTATGATTATGTTGCCATTTTGGTATTTTCTTGGTGTTATTTATATGAGTTTTGCCGGCGTCGGCTTAGCCACGATATGATTCCCTGCCTGAATCACCATTACTTGACACTTTTAAGCTTCCTTGAGGCTCAAACTTTTATGGTCGAATGAACAAACTCTACCGCTTAGTCATTTTACGGTGCTGGACATGCTGATTAGATATAGCCGATTAATTGTACACAACTTCTTATTCTCCACAAATACCGATATATCTAGTTACAAATGATCGACCGATAAGAATCGTTGGTTTTAAGAAGGATAGATTTTTTAAGCTTCCTCTGGTGTTTAGATGTAGAAATAGTGATGAACTTTTGTTAAAATTTATTCAACTTTTAAATAATATGTCGATATATATTCCTTGTGCTACATGCCCATACAAGTAGGACAATTCTATCACACTAGGTCATTAAACAAGAAAAAGTTACTCAATGTCTTGACACGTAATGACAGAATTGCTGATAAACGATAATGGTACAGATATATCTACTATATATTCCTATATTCATAATACAAAAACACTCAGCTAGTTATAGTGTTTAGAATATACATGTATACAAAGTTCACATAGACATGAAGTAAAGGTAGGTAGTTAGGGTCGCAGGATAAAGAATATGGTATAATAAAGGCTGAGTATATCATACGTAACTATGCCGTTATAATATTTTCCTGTGGCCCTAACCTGCTTCCGTACGAAGTTTCGATCTAATTACTAGTGAATATTCCGTCAGTAGTCATTTTGTTCACGCAAATGTTATGCTTTCTCAAATACGAATACAACGCCTTCTTTTTCAGCAAAATATTTCTGAATTATCCTTTTTTTAATCGTTTTCCATTTTCTAGTCTTCTCCATGTTTTCCATCAACACTTCCAGTATACCGTCATATACCGGATGTCTCAGGTATTCCTCTCGCATCACTAAGATGATAAATCCACCTGAAATACAACAATCGATACATTATAGGCACTAAGGGATTGTAATGGCCAATGTTACCACCGGCGCAAAGCATTCATTTGAGTACATATCATCTGATTAGGTTTAGCGTCCGAAGTAAAGGTAGGATAATTACAGATGATACACAACAAAATAATAACATTCAAATGTGTCAATATCAACTAACTTTACAAGACAGAAAGAATACAAGACCAGCGTCTAACGATGATTATATAAATGACACATAAGTGAATAGCAACTTTCAATGCAAATTAAATGTGAGATACATTCAACCAAAAAACGATTAAACTACATTATACAGCTGTCGTCAGTGATGCTAAGGGTTTATGAGGCGAATGAGAAAAATCTAAAGTAACCAAAAGAAAATTCAAAAGCTAGACAGGAGGTTAACTAGCCTAATAATTGAATAAATTTTGTAATTTTCATATATCAGGTAAACTCAGGTAGATAGGAGTTGCTTCCCTTCTGTTATATTACAATGCTATCATCTAATGACTATGTTGTATATCAATGTATTTTGCCTTGTACCACTGTGATGTTATGTTTGGGAGAGGATTTAAATATGCTCTGCATTATGTCCAATCCTTTTGTCATATATATCTATCTACATGTCAATAAAATGCACAATCCAGACGGGAAGGTGCACAAATCCCATAATTAAATAAATTTTGTGATTTCTATATATCAGATAATCTTAAAACTACGTCAAATACATGTGTATATTCTGAACCGTGTCAATATTACAATGAATTAAAACGTGGCGTACAGGTTACGGTAAATCTCGGGGACTTAAAGTCCACTAGCAATGTTAACCACATACTCTTTCAAAAGATTGTACAAAAACCGCACAAGTGAATAGCACCTTTAAATAGAAATAGATGATACAGTAGAGCTAAATTATGAATTAAACTGCATACAGCTGTTTTGTCCTGGAATACTGCAAAATAACTAGAAGGGATTATAGTGAAATGTTTACAAGGGCAGCAAACGAGAAAAAAATACAGAAAGTGATTACCTTTACGGGTTATTCTTAACATCTCCCATAATGCACCTGCCGGAATGTGACTTTGGCCCATTCCTCCGGATGAAGCGACGATGTCATAGGTGTCTGAAAGAAATAGTCAGTGGTTTACAAAACGTTACAGATCAATCCAATTACACACAAGCAAGAATATTAAGTAATAAGATAAGAACTTATCTTGAAATGTATTAATATTTCTCTTAAATCTTAGGAATATTAACGTTATAGAATGATATTTTTTTCTATTCGCATGTAAAATCGCAAATCTATATTTCATTTGTAGTTACAAGCAGTTCCTTATACTTGGCTTTAATACGTTGTTTTGATGTCTCTCTTCTGACTAGATGATTCAAAGTGGAATACATTTTCGAGATTAAATTGGTAAATATACATCTCTTTCATCGAGATATCAGTCATATATAAACCACTGCTATAGAAAGAACATTGTAATTAATAAGTTTAAATA